ATTGGAAGTCAAATAAAAAATGTATTGTTTAACAGGGAACAGAAAGCAAAAAGGGAGGTAAATATATTTACAAAGATGGGAGGAATACAAAGGAAACAAGATATATGAAACCCAAATCTCAGATGGCTCAGGAGTGCATGGAATGAGGCACGCTGACCTCCAGCACACCAGGACCCAGAGCAACAGGGCAGGAGAGAGAGAAGCACTGCTTCCTGCCTCTTTTAAAGAGTGTGGAGAGGAAGGGGATGGAATAAACTGCTTCCCCCGGGACCCTCCTAGGTCCCAGATCACCTGTCCAACCCCCAAGCTTCAAACCACAACAGTTTGTCTTCATATGAAGGCTGCTATGAGAAGCTCAGGAGAAAATGGTGAAATTGTGCACAGTTAACTTAGTATAAGGCTTAAATCCAGAGCTCTAGGCATGCCTGAAAGCTCTTGAGATTTTTCTGCTGTCTAAAAAGATAGGACATGAGATAGAACCACTTAAAGATGCCAGGCTACTCTGGAAGAATTACTAGAGATATAGCTCTGTATGTATCTGGATACATAACTATATTCTAGATCCATAATATAATATTAATATGCAAGTATATGTTATATGAGCTGTATGTATATGTGTGTATACAGTATGATATAAATACATATATGTAAAAAAAGTCACTAAGAAGTGTTAAAAATGTCCATTCCATTTGTGTTCTTTCCTCTCTATTCATTTTCCTGTAACTATTTCAATTTTTCTGGCTTGTGTGTCATTCTGCTAGACTGTGCTAGTCTACAGACTTGAAGCTTGTACAACTGCACAAGCCATGCTTCTCAGTAATTAGAGGGCTGTAATCTGAGCAGAATAATGTTGCACAGTGGTTGATGGAAACAGCTTTGAATTTGCACTAATTTTTCTTACCAGTCAACCAAAACAACTCCCATGCTTCTAGATTTGAGAATCCAAAGCTACTTAAGTGGGAAGTATGTTGGGCTTTCTTGTCAGCTGAGGAAACTAGGTGCAAAATAAATAACTGTAACCCAATGCTCTTTCTTATGTTGTTGCTAACCTCTTGATGTCTAACTGTATTGCTATAGATTGTGTGTATGATACTGTCAGGTTCTATTCAGAATTGGAGGCAGTCTGCGTACAAGTGGTACACTCAGATTTGAAATACAGATTATACATCGATTTCTATGTGGCAAATGTAAACGTGCAATTTTTACAGAGTGGAGGTGGTTTACAGTTCTCACCTGTTCTGGACATTTAGCTGAGGGTGAGGTGGGGGGGTGGCATTTTTTAGGTAGAATTTTGCACTGAATAAACAGGACCAGATCTCACTGCCTTGTCAATCTATCAGATGTTATGTAAATCAGGGTTTAGGGGTGAAGGTTTTTTTTTAATTATTGTTTTTGTTGAACAAGTAAGATGCAAAATGTCTTAGTTTTTGGCTTATTCATTACTTCAAGACATGTTAAGACAAATGTCAATGGGCTTTTCAAAATCTGTTAGCAGTCTGCGTGTTGGCAACTACTACAAATTAAAGACAAGTTGACACAGTGTTTATAGAATGTCTGCATTATTTATGATACCATTATGTACATAAGTCACTAAACAGTTCTGCAAATTTAATTTGTGTGTTGTTTAAATATAAAAATCTGCCTTTTCCAGGGACCTTAAGCCAGAGAACATCTTACTAAATGAAGATATGCATATTCAAATAACAGATTTTGGAACAGCAAAAGTATTATCTGCAGACAGCAGACAAGGTATATTTACTTTATTTACTTCATGTGACACAGGTAATGATCCTTTTAAAATGTATGTATTCTGTGTTTATCGGATTGTAACCTTCACATATCATTACCGCTTATCTAACAAAATCACTGAGAGATCTTGAAATAATTTTGACTGTCACTGCTTAGATTATGTCAGAAGAGGTAATATTTGGTGTAGTCGGTATAGCCAGCTAGGTCACCAGATACAGTGGGAAGTTAAACTACTTCATATTACTTTTCATTTGAAAAACAAAAATACAGACAAATAGTTACGGTGCCTCAGATGAAACAGTAAGTTTTTCCGCTGCTTATATATTTAACCTCAGTGACTATCAGAGTTGCTCAGATGTGAAGGATATAGAATTCTTGTGTCACTAGTTGCTTAATATTAACCTGTGAATCAATGATGCTGCAAACAGTGTGTGTAAAAAGCACTGCGCTGAGCTGCATTTGATAAACTTCATTTTTTACTTGAGTTTAGTAAGCTTGAATTGATAGGTTTGATACCTAATAAAGTGCCTAAATGCCTAGCTTCTTGAACCAAATAGGTTTTACTGAGATTAATTTGATTTGTCTCTTCCAAGCAGGTAGAGAAATTAAATTCCTGTGGGTTCTTTGTAGCATTATATAAAGCCAAAAGGCGATCTATTGCAAGTTTGTTTTTTTTACTGGGCAGGGGCAGAGGGGGAAGGGAAAAGTTGGCTTCTCCGTAAGTATTTATTTGCTTATTTCTTTCCTTTTTCATACCAGCTCGGGCAAACTCATTTGTAGGGACAGCACAGTATGTTTCTCCAGAACTGCTGACAGAGAAATCTGCCTGTAAGAGGTGAGGACTCTATTGTATTTCAGAAGTTTACTGACTCTGTAGGATACTGTCAAATAGAGGGGAGGGGATTAGTAAGGCAAGCAAGCTTGGTATTGCAAAGAAACAAGGTGCTTGAGTATAAAGGGATTTTTTTTTAAGACAGTTTGAAATTTTTTTTCCTTAACAAGTATTGTTTCTTGTCTGGTTTCCTCAGTTCATCTGGAATTCTACAGACAGGATTAGGTGTTTTCAGGAGAAGAGGGTGTCTAATGTGAAGTTGGATTTCTCTTACCCATAAATAAATAACTTTTTTTTTGGTTACACAAAAATAATATAATTATTTTAATTCTGCTTTATATAAGCTTGCTCTAATATGGTAATTCCTGTTGTAAAAGAACAGAATGTCACATTCTCTCAGTAAGGGGAAAGGCTACAGCTTTCTTTGTCTTGCATTTAGATCAACTTGCATTTGTCTTTGGTAAGCTCTTCTTGGGGTTTTCAACGTTTTTAAAGCTCATCTCTGTACCTGGAATGAGTGATAACCTTAAATTTCTTAACTTATTTCAGTTGGTTCTTGATGGTAACTTGTAGACTGTTGTATATTTTATTACAATGTTGAAAAAATAATCAAAGTGACCACTGACGAGTCATAGGGAAAAGAGATCTCTTATATCAATAACTGTTAATTTGTGCTAGCATTTCTTGAAATTATACAAGTACCATTAGACTTCCCACTTTTGCTTCTATTAAAGAGGTTTTGACTGTTTCGGCTGATGGAAAGATTTCATCAGGCTATCATCTCCTTTTAGACGTTACGTAATGTTTTATCTTTACAGAAAACTCTTCATTTGAGTAGTTTTGTGTCTTTGTTACTATTTTAGTCCTTCATGAGAATTTCTAAGCTTTAATCAAATCTATGTATATTTTTCCTGAAAGGTAAAATAAATTGAAATATTCTTCCAGGTCAAGACACTAAAATTTAAGACTTTCCCCTCACCTGTGTACCACATAGTCTGCCTTTTTTTTATGTCTTAAAAACTTTAAGTGAAAAAGCTGTATCGTGACTGCTTTTTTTTTGCATAACTTATTTAGAGCAAAGGATATTTATTCTGAAGGAGCATATATTACATTAAGTTGGATGCGTCTTTGAGTTGTGGTAGTGCATAATAAGTCTTAGTCCCATTATATACTCATTAGTCATTTTGACTGAGAATTCATCTGTCTTGCAAGTGCACTTGTAGTCAGTTGTTGTGGGATGGTTACTATATACTTTTTCTTCCCTGAAAGTTACATGCTAGCCTACCCTTCTGTCAACAAATTAAGTGAAAATAGTGTGGAAATTATGCTAGGCAGGTTTGCCTGCTGTGTTCATGTTATGTTCTAACTAGCAGAAGCTTAAGAATTTTTTTTTTCTTAAACTACAGTTTAAGGACTTCTTACAGGAAAGCATGCTATATATATATTTTTTTTTTCCCTTTGAAGCTCTGACCTCTGGGCTCTGGGCTGCATAATATATCAGCTTGTAGCTGGATTGCCTCCATTTAGAGCTGGGTAAGAGATTTAAGCTGCTTTTTTTTTTTTTTTTAACTTGTGGATCACAAATATATTGACTTGGTTTTGGCTTTTACCTTACTATGAGTTCTGAAGTACAGCTTTTCATGGTGCAGTGTTGGTATTAATGTCATGCCTGCTTATATTTATCCTTTCTGATGTCATGAAGATGCTTAGACAGCTATAACTGGAGTTCCTGAGAGAGGTTCCTTAGAACCTCTATCATATCCCAAGATTTCATATGTAACTTATACCATAGAGGTAACTATGTCTACATGAAGGGGGTGTGTGGAACCTCTGTAGTGAGGCGTTTGAGCTTTTCTTGTTATTATTCAAGTATATGGTGCTTACAGGATCATAAATACATGGATGACTGTATCCCTTTGCCCTAGAAAGATCTTTGGGAGTGTGACTTAGCTTGTAGAGCTTCTGCTCAGTATTTGTCCAGGTTATGTACTGTTAAGGTGAAAGAACTGTGGAGGACTAAGAACAAAAGCAAATATTTTTCTCTTTTGCAGAAATGAATATCTTATATTCCAGAAGATAATAAAGTTGGAATATGACTTTCCAGAAAAATTTTTTCCCAAGGCGAAAGATCTTGTTGAAAAGCTGTTGGTAAATACTTGCTGCTATTAACGATTTGATGACATTGGAAGCACTCAGCTTATGCTGTTTTTTTCCTAAAGCTTCTATGCACTCCATTGCAAACCTTATAGTAAGAAAGACTGTGAGCATTACTGTGTAGGGGAGTGTCTTGAAAATCCCCATCCATTATTAAACAGCACTTAGGTGATTATTTTTTAAAAATCTGAATTCTAAAGCATGGACAGGGAATTCTTCTCAGTGGAATGGAAGGAAATGGCTCTAAATACTGTCCATTACACACAGAAGTTGATAAGTTGAGTTCTATAATGGATCGTTTAGTTGAAAACAGTTCTATACATCACATGGAGAGATAATCATTACACTAAATCAACTTACCTTGCATTTTAATGTGCACTTACACTTGAACTTACTGCGTATCTTGATTGTATCAGCCAAAGAATTACTCTGCATGTGAATGTTTGACAGACAGGAAGAAATAAATAGTTCTGTCATCAGTAAGACACATCCATGGCACTAAAATGAATATGAAGAGAACATTTTGGGTGGTATAAGCTTTTTTGAAATTCAGTAGTCTAGAGTATTAGCATGGGGTGGGGGGTAAAGAGGCACCTGTGTTACATTTGTGCATGGTGCTGAGTGCAACCCTCATAGAGGGCCTAGTAGCATGTTCCTGTGCCCAGGCCAGCTCTCTGGCCAAGCCAGCGCCTGCTGAATGGTAAGGTCCAGGTTGTGTCCACACTCTGCGAATGGCATGGTTTTAAGGTGCCTGAGAGATAGATGTTTGACACCAACTATAGCTTCCACAGCTGCTAGCAGCACTGGAATGTGATACTGGGCTATACTTAAATGAGCTGTGCTCCATCAGGCCTTCTCAGTATGTTTACTTGGCTTTGTTTCTGTCTTTGTGAACAAACAAAGCCAAAAAATTGTGTGGGCTCACTCAAAGTGCTCTTTTCTTTAGATCTGTGAGCTGTTCTAATACAAAATGTTGCTGATGACATACTGACAAATAACATCTTGTGTTGCAAGCATTCCCTTTATAGTCTAGATACGTATGCTTAGGACAGTGAGACCGATAGGTTTTCTGCATGCTTCTGTGGAAATGTGAATGGTGTTCGCCCCTTCCTTGTCATTTTATGCGTGTTAACCTTATTGTAATTTGCTCAGGTCCTGGATGCTACCAACAGATTAGGTTGTGAAGAAATGGGAGGCTATGGACCTCTTAAAGCTCACCCCTTCTTTGAATCAATTGTGTGGGAGAACCTACATCTACAGACACCCCCAAAACTTACTGCATATTTACCTGCCATGTCAGAGGATGATGAAGACTGTTATGGAAATGTATGTTTGTCTATTGCAATATTTGGGTCTGATGCTGCCTGGGACTTTCATTAAAAGCATAATTATTGCATATTAAATAGTGTTATTGAAACTACTGATTAGTTATATTTTAATAAAGACCCAATTATTAAGAATCTAGTATGACATCACTGGCTAAAATACTAAAAAGTATTTTATAGAGAACTATATGCAGAATATTATTATAATTATATTATAAAGAACTAATAAGCATTTTTTTTTTTCTGGTAAAGCGAGTGTTTGGCAAAAAATACTGGTTCATTTGCTTTTGAACAAGCATTTTTTTTGGATAAGAGAGTAGGCTGTCTTTTTTACCAAAAAAACATAATAAACAAAAGCACGCTTAAATTAAAAGCTCCAGTTTAATGCAAAATAAGCTTTTTAATAAAAGAAATCTCCACTTTGTTTCCTCCTCCAGTATGACAATCTCCTGAGTCAGTTTGGTTGCATGCAAGTTTCTAGTTCTGCATCTTCCCAGTCACTGTCTGCCCCAGAGATAAGTACACCACAGACATCAGGAGGAAATATTGAGCAGTATATTCATGATCTTGACAACAATTCCTTTGAGCTGGACTTACAGTTTTCTGAAGATGAAAAGAGATTACTTCTGGCAAAACAAGCTGGTGGAAATCCTTGGTAAGATCTTTAAATATAGTTCATCTGTTACTTGTGCAGCAGTAAGGAATCCAGGAAAAAAAAAAGTTATTTCAATTCAAATTAGCATTTGTCAATATCTTCAAGTAAACAATCAGCAACTAGGTTTTTCTTGACTTCTATTTTCAAAGCAACAGCAGTGAAAACTTAATACTATGTTTCTAAAATTTACAAGGTCTAGATGATGTTGTGGAGCATGAGATAAATATCTCTTGAAAAAGGAGACACTAGGAAGAGACATGGAAAATTGCTTTATAGTAATAATAATAATAAGTGTTTCTGTGGAGGAATTGCTTCTGGAGTAATGGCTATTTTTCTTTTTTTTTTAGGCATCAGTTTGTAGAAAATAACTTAATCCTAAAAATGGGCCCAGTGGACAAAAGAAAGGTAAAGGTGTTTCTTAATTCCCTGTAGCAAGATTCATCTGTCACATTTTTTTTGCATAGTTGCAGTCTAGCCCATTAATGCTTTACCTTAGTGCACACCTGCATGTGGATTGAGCAACAAATATCAGAAAATTAAATGCAAGCCCATGTTGTCCTTAATTGTGGTGTTTTTCCCTGTCCGACTAGTGCCTTTATCCTGAGAGATGCAGAGGTGATATTAGAACAACTTTAAGTATTAACTTGAATATGGTACGGGTGAGCAATGACAGTCTGTGTCAGTTTACAGGACTGTGTGTTTTCTTTCATCTAAGTTACTACCACTTGTTCCTAATTTTCTCCACAAAATCATAATATCGATTTCTGTGCTGAAATCTTTGACAAAATTTGCTTCACTCTGTACAGACAGTTTTTTTGTTTTCTTGGAACTTAGATGCTTTCTTAAAATAGTACTTGTGTTTTGCTGTGTAGTAGAAATACACTGGAACCTCCTCAAAAAGGAGTGAGGTCAAACAGATAAAGCAAAAGGAAAACAAAAAAGTCCCCCAAATTCAAATGTGCTGTCCAATTGCTGAGCTATTTTAATTCTACCTCTGTTAAATTCAGAGATCTACGCATTTACATTTGTTTTTCCTTGTGCTTTTTTGGCATTGCTGCTTCTGCTTTTCTTGTTAGGGATTGTTTGCACGTCGGCGCCAATTGCTGCTCACAGAAGGGCCCCACCTGTATTATGTGGATCCTGTCAACAAAGTTCTAAAAGGAGAAATTCCATGGTCTTTAGAGTTGCGGCCAGAAGCCAAGAATTTTAAGACATTTTTTGTTCACACAGTAAGTGACTTTCTCTAATGTCTTTAAGTTGCGCTAAGGTCATTGGACAACTACTTTAGGTTGTTAATCTTTTCTGGAGAAAGTATTAATTCCTTAAATACAGCTGTTGATAGCCTTTATTTAAAAACAATCAAACAAACAAACCCCAAACAAAACAAAACAAAAAACCCACAAAACAAAAAACAAAGACCCCACAAAACCCAAGCTCCCCCAAAAGCAGAACAAAACAACAACCCCCTGACATATGCATAACTCACAAAAATGCAAGTGTATTGTTTATTTATGTGTAATTAAACTATAAGTGGATTTTGGGATTTGAAGCATGATCCTAAGAAGAAATTCTAAAATTTAACTCTTTGTTTATAGTAAATCACAAGGAGTGTACCAACAATTTATTGCCAGCTGACTGTTTATCAGTTTTGAGGATGCTGGATGTATGTTAATTCAGTAATACAGAATGCTGTATAACTGTAATTCAATTTAACTTTGGGAAAGTTTGTGAACTGACTCTGAATAATTATTGTTAGGTGCAGAATATTGCTTTTTGGTTAAGCTTTGTTTGGAGTACTCATTAAAATGTTGTTCACTTATAGCCAAACAGGACATATTACCTGATGGACCCGAGTGGGAATGCTCATAAGTGGTGCAAAAAGATACATGAAGTTTGGCGGCACAGATACCACCAGAATTCTGCTAAATAGTAAAGCTCATCCAAAATTTCCCAGTTTCCCTTCTTGCTGCTAGAACTCCGTGTGCAGCCGATCAGAGGAATCTTTTCAACCCACCTATTGCCATCTCAAGGGGAAGCATATGTCTGAAATATTCTATTGTTTTTTTTCTAAAAAAAAAAAAAAAAAAAGGAAAAACCGTAATGGAATTCAGGGTCGCTTTGCTCGCTCTTTGTGCTTCTGTTGAGGCTTCCACATGCATATCATTGCAGTGAAGATCTTGCTTTTGTGCACTTCAGCTCAATTTTTGCTGCAGACTAGTGGATAGACCTTGCATTACCAGCTTCACTTAAGATGAGTTAAAATCCATCCACACGCACACATGCTGAATCATGTACCAGCCTGATGTTTCATGGGGCTGGAGTTTTCTGTGACTTTCAGATTATCATTGAACTGTAATTCATCAGGGAGCTTTTATATGCCCCTCCTAAGCACCACCTCTTTTTTTCTTCCTTTCCTCACAGTCCCCCAGCTTAATGGTATATGGCCTTTGTAGCCAGGTCAGTTGCACCCCTTGTGTAATTCCTGATATAGTTTTGGTTGCAGGATTTATGTGGTACTTTAGTAATTATGTGAATGAATCACATCTATATGTCTGGCAGACAGGCTCCAATGATACAGGTTTTGAGAGAGTAAAATGATGAACACGGCACTGAAAGATTTGTAAAACTAAAATGTTGGCTACTGAAGCATATAAGAGTTTAAACATTCAATTGTAATTGTAATATGAATCATGTGTGTTTAATCAAGGGACAGTAAACTTACCAGCATGCTTTTAGCTAATGCTAACTGAAAAATTAACTAGTTAGTATGGGAGGAAAAAAATATTACTATTGAAGTAGTCAATAGTTTTTCACTTTTTCAGGAGATGAGGGCTAGAAGCTTTCTTTCCCAGGGTGTGCATGTATTGTGCATTTTAGTGGGGCCAACCTATTTATCTGAGCATAGAAGGAAGTGTGAAAGCTTTGTACAATTGATTACTTGACTTTTCTTTTGGTCTCGTTGTATAATGAGATGTACAAATAATCCTGTTTTTGGTCCTTTGCCAAATATTTAGAAACTCTAAAATAATTTCAGCAATTGAAATGAGATCCATAAAATAATCTGGTTAAAAATTCAAAGGACAATATTGATACAAAGTGGAAAATATATGGTACTTAATGCATATCTGTAAAATGAAAATATTCTTCATATCAGTCTCCTTTATAGTCTTCAAATTAAGGCTTTTTTGTGGTCAAACATTTCTTGTAATGTTGCAAAGACATAACTTTCTGTGTGCTAAAACCAATTTCTCTAATAGTATTTTCAACATACCTGTGTTCCTGAACCTTGCAGAGAGGAATGACCTAGGTCTGGTCCTTGTTTTAAATGCAGTATAAACATCACACCTATTTATTCACCTTCTACACTTGCCATCTCTTTGCATTTTGAGGTCTCCTAGTATGTGCTTTTCCTTTGACCAAAGAAAGAAATGTTCCACTGCAGTGTTTTGGAAAAAAACTCATGGGCTGCTGCCTTAGAAGCAGTGGCCTATTGTGATTTCTCGAAACACATGAACATTGGATATTTTGTTGTTGTACAGGGCGAAGGAGGTTTATTAGTGATCTCTTAAACTGTTATGTGATTGAACTTGATAACAGTTCAGCTTTTCCAGTTTCTTTCAGTCTTTAAAGGAGAGAGTGGAGTTGCCTTTTCTTTTTAAGGAACTACATTCTTGTAGCCTTCTGTTATCCCAGACTTGACAAAAGTGAATCACTGGCTTACAGTGCCTGGTTCTAAGGGAGCTAAGGTGTCCTGTAGATTGCCTAGATGAGAAAGACAGAACACCATTCCCTTTGCATGATGGGAAGTGTCATCATGTACAAGGTACGATCCTTGTCACTAAAATTTGAATAGCACAGTACATCTATCTGTGCCTTTATTAATCCTATATTTAACTTTCTAATCAAGATGAAAGGCCCTGTAAGTTGGTTGCAGTACTATCCATTTGTTCTCTGGCTGTCAAATTCCAGCTATGTTTGGTCCATTTGAGGCAACCCTAACACTTTTGGATTTAGCCCCTGGTATGGACCTTTAGTATTCCCAACTTAATACAGGAGAGCTTGGCAGTGGAGGAGATTCACACTGTCACTGCTGTCCAGTGTCACAAAACTTAGGCTCACATAAAATCTTCAGCAGAGTTGTTCTGCTATTAATAGCGATCACCTGAGCTTCATTATGAGATGGAAGGATCCCCATTGTCTTGTTCATTAGGTGGAAAGAAATCTAGGAATGCTTGAACATGTTTTCTGCAATACTTAGACTTGTAGTCATTTTGTCATAAGAAGGTAAATACTCTGCTTTTTCACACCTTGAAAATTCTCTCTCAGTAGACTTGCATCCTTCACATGGAAAGCTTTCAGCCTGAGAAATCTTGATAGCAGAAAGTTATCAAGAAGGTGTGTGGAACACTGATGTCTGCATCGTAGTGTTCCTTTTCTTCCTTTTGACAATGCTGTCATTAGAAAACTGAGAATGTCTTACAGGTTTAGAACCCGTAGATCTTTTACCCTTAGAACTTTGGTGTTCCAGATCAAGTCTTTCTTGGCTTCTGATTTTTTGGGAAGGGACTACAACTTTTCCTGGAAAGGTATTTGTCTGTCTTTGACTGTAAGTGAAATCTGTGGTTTTGAAAGATGGCAGAAGATAAGAATGATGCAAGACAAAGCAATCATGTGGATTTAAGTATGTTTCACCAGTTTGTCCACTTAAATGTGTATTGGCAGGTGCTGCATACTATGAAGGGCTGTTTCCTGTTTTAATTGCTTATACCTGAAGTGGGATAGTTTCAGATCTGAAACTATCTGAAGGTCACTCCTGTGGTTCATGGGAGTTCCTGAAATGAAATGGATAAGAGATTCTTCAGAGCTGCCAGTTAATTTCTCTGCTCATTGTCTGAAGTCATTCAAAGCACAAAGTGTAGTCAGGCACTTGAAGACTCTTCTTCAGACTCCTCAGTAAAAACCAAATGTGTTGATTGATTCATTCCATCTTTTTCATTTTGAACAACTGCCAATCATTTAGAAAGAATCTGGTCAGTGATGTTGTGATTTTTATTTTGCTTTGTTTTCTGTGGGATGAAGCTTAAAGAAGGATGGAGTGCTACTGGTAGAAAGGTTTTTTTGAGTCACATTTTTATATGGTGCCTAGTTCAGTCATGGGAAGTTTAAAACTATTGTGATAAATGGGACAGGAGAGTTTATTACTATTGGACTTGAAAATCCAGTTTTGAGATGGATTTATATTAAGGAAGGCTTGCTTCAGATGTGATGTTGGTGCATTGTGAGCAGACTGGTATTAGCTATTAATGTGGCATTTGCTAAGCACTTAGATGCTAAAGTCATCAAATAGTACTGTGTTCCACTTACTTTTCTCCTTCTGACATGATTTAGTTGTGAAGTATCTGCTATATATAAATACAGAAAAAACTCTAGGTTGGAAAAAAAATGTGATAATTGTTATCTGTTTTCATAGTTCAAGATGGTTAATTTAACATGCTTGGTATCATTACATTTTGTGCTGGGAACATTGAAGAATCCTGAGGGTTTCCCACATGTACGTTTTGCAGTTTCTTTTGAAAGATTTAATGAAGTCAACACAATCACTTCCTTTGGCCTGTGGATGAAACGCTTGATTTCAACACCCTGCTGAGAAGAGAACTTGTATATTAATAGTTGCCTAAAGGTGTGGTCTGTGGATTCTGATCACTCTTTCTACTAGTGAATTACACAAATAGGTGTGGTATTTATACCTGAAATTTTGCTGAATGCCTGTAATATTTTATGAAAATATTTTATTAATCAAATGGAAGTGCTCCTGCAAAGCTTCATAACACAAATTGTCCATCAGTTGATCAAGTGAGCTTACGGACAAGTAATTCTCTGACCCAAAATGGCATGCTTTCAGTTAAGACTGGTAGTTTAAGAATGTTTCCTCTTAGAAGAAATGTGACTTTTATACAACAATGGGAGAGATTCTTAAGCACCCAATAACCTGGTCTGTCTGTCAGCATGGTATTGAATGTAGATGGTTGCCATTTGACAAAGCTTCCTATGACCATGTGTTAACTCTGATTGGGTGTGGCAAATGTTCTACTTTGTAGCAGAACTTAAAATTACTGTATCTGACAAAAGAGAGAGAAATAGGAACCGGGTACCATAATCAGTTTTGATAGTTGTATGCTAGCTGTTTTCAGGTTGGTGGCAGTCAGTTAAGTGTGTAATATTCTCTACCTGGTTTGTAGCTGTAACTGTGATGTACAGATAAAAGAGAAACAAAAAAAAGGGCAAAAAACCCAAACCCCCTTAGCAAGCACCACAAAACAATCTCCCATCCTCTAAGAACTTGTGAAAACAGAAGCAAATAATGCAATGATACAAGATACACACTTTTGTATTTTTATTCTTATAAGGTTATTTGCTGACTCTTGTTGGCCTCTAGTTCAGTCTGTGTTATTTAAATTCTAATATATGAATTATTTGGATTGAATTCATGTTCGGGGCCATGGTGTTGTATGTATTGATGTACAGCCTTGAATGTGAATTATTATTGTAAACTATATTTTACACCTTTTTTCTGGCTTTATTATATAAATTTTCTATTGGTCGATGATTTAATCATATCTCATAATTTAATGACTGTTTATTCTCCTCTGGACAGATCTCTGTGCTGTAGATGTGTAGGTAGTGACTGGATGATGGATTTCACTTATGCTTGGTAGTCTGTAATAAAGGCATGTAGGGTCGTGCTCTGGCCTCCGCCTCTTCCTTCCGGGGC